GAGAGAGAGAGAGAGAGAGAGAGAGAGAGAGAGAGAGAGAGAGATTCCCTACTCTCCCTTCCCCCTCTCCTCTGTTTTTTAAACAAACAAACAAAAAGAAAAACCAGGGAAGATCGAACAGATGCTTAAAAATAGATTTCTAAAAATCACTGTAAACCAGAGTTAGAAATGTAATTAACACCTATTTATGACGAATAATTAAAGTTGGACTGGCCACAAAGAACAGCAAAGATAACCATGGTCCTGCCCCCCACCCCCCACCCCCTTTTTACACTGTTTGCAGTGTGTTCTCATGATAGCCACCTGCTCCCTGCTCGGCTTCTCCTCTGTTCGTTTCCCCGGCAACCTTTCATTGGGTTTTCCTCCCAGCTATCGCTTTCAGTTGGGCTGCTCGGTCTAATCTTATTTGTTTTACACCCATCAAAACAAGCAGCCAGACAAAGGCAATCCTCTAAGAATGGGAAAAAGACCACAGCTTTGTTATAACATCTATGCAGAGGGAAAAGTCCTCCCCAGGCTTCTCCTGTGCAAGAATAAGTAAGATGGATATGAATTTACAGCCCCCCCCCACTACCCAGCCCAAAATCTCCTGAAAGCTATTGCTGGTGAAAATTCAAAGTCAAAGTGGGCACTTGTGTCATCTGATTGTGCCATTTTGGGCTATATCTTCAGGGTCAACACCAGGCAACAGGAGCAGCACTCAAGGAGTTTCCCTGTTTCTTTTTCCAGAAAAAGATGATGCTAAAAATAGATTTACTACTTCGGCAGAAAGGTTTTCCACTTCCTCATCCACATCCCAAAGTCCTGTTTCACAAATGCATCTGCTGGTACTGAATCTCACCTCCTCCACCCCTCATTCCCAACCTTCCCCATCACTCCTAGCATAAGACTGAAAAAAGAAATGTGCCTTTAACTTTAACAGTCATGTAATTCGGTTGAAGGCTCACAGAGGCTGTGGACATGCCAGCCAACAGTGACGGTGACATTATGATTGTCAAAAAAGACACCAACCTTGCTTGTCTGAAATGTGTTTGATGGAAGAGGCATGGGTGCCTTGTGTGCATGCAGTGCCATTACACTGGGAGGTGATTCTGGCTTTCAGAAAAAGAAATACTAATAAACACACACACACAATCAGAACAGTGATTTACAATGCAGTCTACCATCCTCACACACACACACACACACACACACACACACACACACACAACGGCTGGAACCTCCAAGCTGCCTTCCTCTTTTCACTTACCATCTTCAAGCCATTCCACTCCATCTGTGATCAGAAGAAGATGGACCCTCACAGAGTGTGTCAAAAGCGGAAAGGAGCGTTATGTAAAAGCTGACATTCCTTCTTACAGAGCCGCTGCCCAGAGAAGGAAGCAACAACTCAACACGCCAGGCACCGCTACACATACAAGCCGCCTCCTCTTTTTTATGAGGTCATGACAGGAAACTCTTTGAAATACAAGATGCAGCATTTACTGAAGCCCAAATAAATCACTCTCTTTGCTGTTTTGACTGCGCAGTCCCCCAAAACACAACTGCCCATCTCAACGTTCAGCATCCAGGAGCTGCCTCTTGAGGTTTAAATTTCCAGCATGGAAATGGAGAGATTCCTAAGCCTGCTGCATCCGCCCCAAACCCCACAAAACCCAGGCATGTAGACAAACCTTGTCTATCTTACAAAAAGAAAAACCCTTTCTTTTCCCATGATGGTCTCAAGTAATAGAATCTCTTTCAACAAACCAGCAATTAGTTCAACCCACCCCCCACCCTCTGCTTTTATGTGGAAGGGAAAACTGACAACGGCCTGTTAAAAATGACAGTCTCTCTCTCCACTGCTTTTCAATAAAAGGACCTAATCGCACTACACAAAAGAGATAGTAAATGTAGGAAACACACAGCGGCAGAAACTAAACTCTTGTGCAAGCATAAGACTGGTCAAGGGTTGCTTGTCTTTCTTCCAGCAATGCAAACAAGAGATTATAAACCCAGTCATACCTACCATAACCATTCTTATTGGCAAATATTGGATCTCGTAGAGCTTCGACTCTTCTCTTAAAATTTGCAAAGCTTTCAGAATATGTTTTAAAAATGACTACTATTGTTATCTATCTATCTATCTATCTATCTATCTATCTATCTATCTAATCTCTGAAGATCCACAAAACACAGTGTGGATGACTGTAAAGTAAATCAATTATTGGGAGGGGGTGGGGCAGGGAAAGAAAGGCAGAAAGAAAAAGAAGGAAGGAAGGCAGAAAGGAAGGGAACAGTGAGCCGAAACCCCTGATTCTAGGATGCAGCTAAGAACAACTGAACAGAGCCGTGCTGAAATCGGCTCGGAGCTTCCCCTTTTTACATCCATTTATGGGACCATCTGTCAGCCAAAGCCAGAATCTGATTGGCTGGGGGAACGAAGGGAGGCGTTGCAACATCAGGTGCTATTTAAATTAGCTACTGCCAGATTGACGATGTTAATGATTCGGTGACCTCTACACCAACAGAGACCAGATTTCTGAACTGCTTCTTGTGTCTGGTAATTAAAGCCCGGCTGAAGCAACAACAGCCATACTTGTATTTTTACCTTTTACCTCCTCCTAGTTCAAAAGTACTGCCACAACTGTAGGTCACCAGAGGACTGAAAACCTCCACTTGGGACTGCCCTTCCTCCCCAGTCCTGGGGGATACAGGAGCCCATCCCTCTGGGCAGGGCTTTTCAGTGTAGAATATTTTCAACTACCACATCTTTCTTGACAGTTGCTTTCTAGCGAAATGCATATTTAATGACCTGCCTCTAGGCTTAAAGATACAATGAAAGCACTTTAATGTGCTAATACTTCCACGTTTTAACTTTATCATTTCTCAGGATTGCTTATTTTTTAAAGTAATGCTTCTTTTGCAGCTAACATGTTCAATATTTCAAAAGCATGCAAGATTGGGATTAAGTTTGCTCTGTGAACTTAGGTTCACCCAAGTTTGCTTCAGGAAACTATTTCCTAATAAACAAAAAAGAAAAAAAATCTGGAGGGAGGAGGAGGCAGCTGTCAGCCTCTATCTTTCTGCCTTCTGTCTGAGCTTTTCAAAACAGAGAATGATGAATGATTTATTTAAATGAATTTACTTCTCAACTTGGATAGGGGCATGCTCTGAATTTTTAAAAATGGACTAAAACATATTCCCCTTTTCTTTCTCTACTGCTGTTAAGGCAAAACATATTTCTCAAATAAAATGGCCTTATTTCATTACCTGTGAAGAACATTCATCGTGCTTAACAAACAGGAGGTTTTACTTCCCACCTAATTCCTTCCATACCTCTTTGGCCTCAGACACTTAGCAAGTGTGTGTGATGTATATAGACTGTCTATGTATGTGATACATTTCATAACCTCTATATTACCAAGCTTTCAGTATTATCTTTGAAATTATCTTTGTTCTGGCTTGGGGTTTTAAAGTGGCTTCCTGAGTTTATACCTCACACCCATGAAGAAGGCTAATATCCCTACTCATTTGATTCATAAGCTAATCAGTTTATTTTTCAATAAATGTACAAAGGCAACAAATATTACTAAAAAACACAATTCAACACCGTCTTTAATCTAGCTGAAGCTGACAGAGCGATAAGACCAGAAAAGCAGAAATACAGGTCAAAATGTGTTAATTTCTGGGCTTCGAAGTCTAAGAGTAAATGAGTTTGTGAAAAATTACTAGAAAAGAAAAAATTTTAGAGGTCAAAACTGTTCTCTCTAAGATATTGTTTAATGAATATATACAATAAACACACATATAGTGTGCGTACACTATAAAAATAGAGATACATCGAAAAGCAATTCATGTTGGATACATTATAGAAATTCTTACACATAAATATAAATAAGCTCAGCTATTAGAAATGAGATGACATGAAATAAAGTAGAAATGTGAAAGCTACACTCAGCTCTTTATGTGGAACAATACCGAATGAAGTAAAGTTCTAAAATAACTTCTTTAGAGTGCTGTGATTCACAGTGGTACCACAATATCCTCTGAACTGTACACTAAAGATGAATTCACAGGTTAAATGCTCTAAATGGCTTGGTGTATACACACAGGATAGTAGGTGTGCCCCAGATCAACAGCAGAAACTCCTCAATGTAATCTTATCAATATCAAAATATTGCAAAAAGTAAATATTGACACAATGCTGACAATCACACAAATAAAACCAGTTCTTGGAACGAAATATTTACTTGATATTTATCTGCAGGTTAGAAAAGATGAAACTTTTAAAATGCCTTTTTTCTCATCCACACTAAACTCAGTATACTTATTGAGCCACAAATTAACATTATGTATACCCAAAGATAGATAGTCCAGCCACTTTTCTGAAATAGTGATTGTATATTATAGTCTAAACACTTAGCTGGTTTTGGTAGGCTAAAAAAAAAAAAATCCAGGCACTTTGTCTATTGATCACTTCTGCAAAAACCTCCACTCTAAAGTCTTTCAAAGGAATCCTCAAACAAATGCACAAATGTCCTCAGAGGCCTTTTCTCTAAAGACAAAGGCAGAATCCCATTGTTGGGAAAAGTCAACCTATTATTGCATTTCCAATAGTACTATACATCTTTCGGAGTGAGGGGCTGACCGCTACATCAGTGCTGTGACATTTGTAAAGCAACAGATTCTCAATATATCATCTCAAGAATCAGGCAGGCAAGTCTCCCAGTCATGCGTGATTTTCTTTTTCTGCCACAATCTACCACCACAGGAAAAAACTTGTCTCACTCAAGCAGCTAAGGCAACCTAAAAATGATATTCCAGCGCTGTGGGGCTGCCAGTGTCGCTGTATCCCTCTTACCATAAATGAGCAGCTTCTTGACTCATTAATGACAATTTCCCTTAAAAGAAGTGATCTCATATCAGTCAGCCCTTCGCCACCACATACGCATCCCAAAGGTTGCAGATATCTCAGCATCAGTTGCCGGCAGCCAGCTTTCCCACACGGAGTCCAGATGGACTGTACCAGAAGCCGATTCAGCGTTAATAACTACCTACTCCGCGCAGTGGAGAAGCTTTACGTGGCACAATGGGCTAGGAAACAGCAGCCGGCTGAAAGTGCAAAGAAAAACAGACAACCAAATTCTCCCAAAGCGCCGAAAACATGGAACAGAAAAGGAAATACGAATTATATTTCCTTGACTTCTATGAAGCAGAGAGACGGGGGAAAAAAGGAAAAGAGAAAGAAAGAAAGAAAAAAAGAATGAAGGGGGGGTGTTAAAAACAGATGCTGCCCAGAAAAAAAGTGACAAAATATTACCTCATTATTTAACAAAGCAGCATTAAGCGTCCTGCTGATTTCAAACATCTTGCCACAGATTTTGTTTTAAGAGAAACAGATAGAATCCTTTGCAAAGCACCCCGTCTGCAAAGGGTTCTTCAATTTTCTTGCGCACCAGGAAACAGTCAATACATTATCCCCCTAGAGTTCGTACGTTAAAACCTCTAGTCAGTGAGCTGAGTTTTACTGTCATCTCACACAGTAGACTCCTGTTACATGTACTGTTCTCTTTGCCAGAGCAGCCTGCCCTAAACATGGCTGGTGTTTAAACTACTCTTTAAAGTAACAGTTCACTATATAACCAGCAGGTGGGTAGAATGCACAGATTGAAATGAACCATCTTAAAAGATCTGTGTATGTGTGCACGTGTGTGCGTGTATGGGTGCGTGTGTGTGTATTTCTCCTTGGAATTGCTTTTGGGTACAGGATGTGACATGAGAAATCTGAGCACCCTAACAGGTAAGCTTGTCTCTGGCTGCATCATGTCTAAGTGAATAAATAAAATTCCTCCTCTTGACTTAAAGCAAGGAAACAACAAAACAAAATACTACCAAACAATTGTAATAACTGTGGAAAACAAAGTATATGCAAGTTTTCTTACATCCAGCAAAGGATGAATAAGAAAAATACAATGAACTTGGAGAAAAGGAGAAAAAACTCCATGAAAATATTTTCTTTTTGAAAAACGAGAGAAATATTCACAAATGATGAAAACTAGATTTAGAAGTGTGCATGCCATGTGCATGAATCACACAACATGACAGCAAAAGCTAAAGGTGCAACTTTTCTTCTGAGCAACACATTATTAGGTTTTTAAAATATAGCTTCAACTGATAAGAAATGGCCAAAAGCTTACAACTAAAGACTCTGGAAAAAGAGGAGCAAAAGCAAGACTGAAGTATCACTTTTAAACACATAATTACATGAATAGTTATAAACAATCACAAGAGTAAACCAAGCACATATCTCTACCAAGAATGACTCTTTTCTCTCAAGATCTGCATCGAAGTGGAGCATTTCTGCTGGTCATTATTTTGGATGTGTACCTAACTTGGCACCTCCTTTATGCCACTCTATTCCAATTAATCTGTTCCTTTGCCAAGAATGAAGAGAATGCCCTAAGCTGAGAGAAGGGGGTGTTATGAGGATATACAACCACATGAGCAAACATTACAGCACTTGTACCATTACATGGCTGGATCTTAAGAAGAATCTTATTAATTGCAAAGCATACACATACCATTTTGTGTACCCATGCGTCTACAACAGAAACCAACATGGACTAATACCTGGCATTTTGTTTTCTTGGCTGAACAAAATTAAAGCACTGAACTTCCATATCTTTTGCAAACACAGATGCCAATTCTAGTATTTTTCCAGTCCACCCAGGCAACATTTAGCTATGTATGACTGTTTCCTTTATCTTTAAATCAAGCCGGCACCATTTAATACCATTTAACCTCCTTGCATATATTAAGTTTCAAGTGACAATTTTTAACTGGGGAGTGAGAAAGAGGAGTTGCTCTCATCAAATTCTGGGTGTATGAAACAAGCTAATTTGTACACTCACCATATGTCTTAAACACTAATTAAAAAATGTCGCTTTCTTCAAACATTAAAATGTAATCAGCCTAGTAAATAAAATATTCTCGAGTTTTCTTGCCTTGGTGATCATTTAAAGAGTGTTTATCTCAAGGTAACCTTTCTATCTTGATTATCAAGGAAGAGTTTAGATTTGAAAAAGGGAAGAGGAGATACTAGGGGTCAGGGGGTGCAGTGGGGCATCAAAAAGAAAACCACTACTGTACATCGCTGCACAAAGGAAAAGAAGATGAAGCAGGTTTTTAAGGACCCATAGTCTTGGTACCCTAAGGCTAATCTAGCCAATCAATACCACCCATTGACGGTCTACCATCTGCCATGCTACCAAGAGATGTGGCTAAACAGACCTGTTCCATATGACTGTAGCTGGCTCATTTTCAGTCTATTAGGGCAGTT